TTTGACTGGATGGTTTCAGCTTATCCTAATATAATCCAGTTATACACAGGAGGTCTGACACAGGCAGACATTACTGGACTTTGAATTATAATACATTATGACTATACTGTAAATGATCAGATTCTGCCCATAATGTGTTGTAATGAAGTGGCAGGTTTTTGTAACAACAAAGACATCAAAAGCCAGTTAGAACAAACCCCTTCAATTCATTATCTTTATGTAATTAGTAATATCTTATCTATATTCTTTTCCATTCAGTTACAATGAATGGGGATTGAAACTTTTATGATTTGAAAAAGGTTACAAAAGCCTCATAAAAGTGGTTCTTATGACTATATTCCAAGATTTCTGAAATTATACAATACCAAAATGTAAAAGTTATTTACTGATAATCTTTCCCTCCAGTGGACCATTACCCAGTAATCGGGGCCAAATAATTAAGTACTGAAACTGAACTTGAGAAGCGAATCAGTCAAATTCATGAACAAATAAGTTAGAGCAGTTGTATGAACTAGATTAAATGTTTAATTGAAAAGATGGCAAATTTGAGGAAAAATTAAAAAAAATAAATAAATAAAATTAATAAATTATTTGAAAATCAATTTTAAAATGTGATTAAAATAAACAAATAAATAGTCCAGTATAGTACTATAGTGAGTAGAAAATAATAATGTAACAATGAAATATTTTCCAAATTATATTTTACACATATTTATAATATTAGTTTTTCACTGTGTAAATTGGGTTTTTATACATGAATATATCAGTCCTTTAAATTTTAGGATGGGGGTCCCTTGCATGAGGATTATCATAACTGGGGGTCCATGGCACCTAAAAGCCCTGAAATAAACTACATTATGATGCTTCTATGGTGCCTTTTAATAGTTTTTTGCTGTTTACAAGGTACAGTTCATTGTACTGGCATGGAAAACGGAAGACAAAGCAACAGAAGGTTTCTTGTAGAGTGCCATAGAAAAAAAAGACAAAGTCACATTCATTAAAGAGTAAACGATAGAAATTTCCCACACCCATTTTTTTGGTTGAACTACTCCTTTAAGAAGAAATTGATGGTAAAAATAATCTGGCCACATGCCATGCAAAACTCTGAGAGCTGTAATAGATTTTTAATGACTTTTTATCCAGCAACCTACACGCGCGTACACGTCTCTCTCACACACACACACACACACACACACACACACACACAGACACAGTTCATTAACCTAAATCAAAAGCAACTGAGATTGCCCTGCTTATTAATTTTAGAAGCTGGATGAGAGAGCAGATAATATTCACACAAACTTCCAGAGACTTGTCATTATAATACAATATAACAAAGTAAATAACTTCTTTCTTCTACCCACCTGTTTCACTCTGTGAATCCCCGCAGCGTGTGTTTTGTTTTTTTTCAAACTCGCGCGCTCCGCTCCGCTCTCTTCTCAGCGCCGCTCGACTATCACTTCCGTATTGGCGAGTCCCGACGTCACGCGGAATGTGAAGCAGGAAACGCGGATGTGTTGCGCTTAATCTGCATCTACAGGTATTCGCAAACACCTCTCTCTTTCTTCACTTTATTAATTCTTATCAACACAAGACACCGTAGCGCCATTTTTGATCATGTGTTTTTATAGCCGTCAGTTTAAGCTCTGAAGGGTTCTGATCGGATTCGCTTAATCCGTATTTGTGTGTGTGTGTGTGTGTGTGTGTGTGTGTGTGTGTGTGTGTGTGTGTGTATGTATGTATTTGTATGTGTGTGATCCAGACGTGTTCCGATCCATATGTCAAACCCAAACCCCCTTTCAAGCTGATCTGATCCAAACGCAGTGCATCGGGCGCGGGTTGGACGTAACCGAGTGGAGGAATGCCTACCGGTAAGAACCCAAACCCGAGCCCGAGCCGGTCACAGCCTCAGCCCTCTGTCATTAACTGAAGACGGTTTATGCTGCAAATGTTGTGCTGCAGTGTGTATGTGAGAATGAGTCAGTGTCATTAGCCTACTGGGGTTCTGCTGATCTCAGCTCTTCCCTGCTGCTTCTGCATCAATAGAAAAGCACAAAAAGTACTATATGGTATTGCCATTGATTTGGTATTCTCTAAGTAACTAGATACATGAAAATGCTAATCATTCGGTAGTACCATGGTATTCCCAGAGTTCCCACAGTCATTGACAATGCAATCTGTTTCACCCATGATCCCATGCAGGACAATGAGTCACCTCAGACTCTGTTGAGGTGTTGGCACTGATGCCATAGACCTTGACAGCAGGTGGCACTGGCATGTGATTTAGTGTCAGCATAAAATTCTACTCAGCAGGGTCCAAGATGGACAACTTATGTAATGTATTTGGATGTTCCTGAAGAGCTTATGAAAGTCTTCTGCGGCCAAGAGACACTGTTGTGCTTCATTCTCCAGTGTTATTTTAGTATTACTGAGATTCTGTTGTAGTTTTTATTAATATTTTGAATTAGTTTTTGTCACATTTTCAGTTTTTTTTATTTAAAATTTTATTTAATTTTCTGTTATTTTAGTATATAAAGGTAAACTAAATAAAAAAGTTT